TCACTCACATGGCTGTGCACTTGTAATGACACATTAAGGTTGTTAAGAGGCTAAAAGCAGGTTTAAAACTTGTCCCGTTTAAGTCAACAGGGTGCAAATTTTAAAAAGAGGATAACACGGTGTAGGCAACACCGGTTTTTGTCGTTGTTATCTGTACTGACAGCACTCCAAATTTACAAAAAATGAGCTCAATGTTAAAATTGACCGGAGTTTTCCTTTAACGTTTGAACAACGTTACCATGGGAGTGAACGGAGTTGTCAGAACGCTTAATAAAGTTTGACTTTATCTGACTGTTTTGTTGACATTTGTTGACATCTAGTGGATGCATAACGCAAACCCTGTCAAACGTTTGACTGCAGTATCTTATGCGCCTTATAATCCGGTGCGCCCTATATATGAAAAATGTTCTAAAATAGGTCATTCATTGAAGGTGCGCCTTATAATCCGGTGCGCCGTATAGTGCGGAAAATACGGTAGGTGCGCGGTATGCGCGCTCATAATGGAAGCGACGTGGTCGTGGTGCCACGCGCTCGTTTTTTCCAAGCGCGTGCGCGCCGCATCGAGATACAAACATCTCAACTTTTCAGAAGGCCGCAAGCGCACCGTAGCTTAGCAACGGCAACCGCCCTAGCACTTTGGAAAAAGGAGAACGCGGCGTGCCTAGCGTTTTCTACGCGTTTTTGGGCGCTAAATGTGAATTCAGCCTTATTTAATTATTTCTACACATGTATAGTGTCTCAGGCAAATTACTGACTTTGCACAAATCAAAGCAAACCTTCTTATCAACCTGCTGGACACATATTACAAGCTCAAAATGATTATTCTCACATTGTTTTAGAGCAGGGGTCTCCAACATGTCGCTCGCGAGCTACCAGTAGCTCGTGGCATGTTCACATATCGCGCTCACATATTTTGCTTGCTCAAGTTCGTTATTTCAAATGTAGGCACGCGGCAAGCGCGCTCATAAGTGACGCGCTCATTTTTTCCAGGCGCAGTAAGTTTGTACTTCGCGGTTGTCCATGACAACTATTGTCAACAAACCCACCGTAAGCTGTCATGAGACTATCTATGGTAGCCCATAAGGGATATTTTTTATTTTTTTTATTTTTTTAAACGCGGCACACGCAACGACGGGCCGCACTAACATTAAACTTTAATGTCAAGTAGGGGGCCACAAAATGCCGCGAGTTTGAGACCACTGATCTAGATTCTTAAGAGATGCTGCTGAGGTTATAACCCCATGTATCACCCATATCATAAACATATCTATTGAGCAAGGATATTTCCCTAATGATTTCAAGCTTGCCAGAGTGATTCCACTTTACAAGAAATGGAGTAAATTAGACCATGGGAACTATAGACCTGTTTCTATACTGTGTAGTCTGTCAAAGATAATTGAAAATATTATTTTTGAACAGACTGACAAATATTTATCATCACTATGAGTGATGAGTTGTGAGATGAGATGACTCTATGAGTTCCAGTCTGGCTTTCGTAAATCACATTCCACTGACACCTGTTTATTGTATTTAACTGACCACATTAGGAGGGAGGTAGATAAAGGTCATTTTTGTGCTATGGTCATGTTAGACCTACAGAGGGCCTTTGAAACCATTGACCATGGTATTTTGGTACGCAAATTAAAAGCCATTGGTTTTAATGACTTAGCAGTCAGATGGGTGAGTTCTTATCTGAAGGATAGGAAGCAGGTGGTGGATATTGGAGGAACAATGTCTCAACCACAATATATAGAATGTGGGGTTCCTCAAGGGATTGTCTTGGGCCCACTTTTTTTCCTTCTATATATAAATGACCTTAAGTCTGTATGTTAATGTGGACTTTATATGCAGATGATTCTGCGTTATTGGTTTCACATGAAGATAAGAACATGCTTGAAAGAACTCTCAGTGTAGAACTATCAAAAGTCAGCAGGTGGATGTCAGACAATAAGCTATCACTTCACTGAGGGAAAACGGAAGCCATACTTTTTGGGTCAAAAATAAAACTGAGAAGATCCCTTGGTTTTAAGGTTTTAGTTGGAGATAGTGAGATTAATGTAAAGGACTCAGTTACCTTGGTTGTGTGCTGGACTGCCACTTGTCTGGAGTGGGCCAAGCGCAAAAGGTGCTTACCAAGGTAAATCAAAGAGTACGTTTCTTGTCCAGAATCTCAAAGTTTTTTGGACAAAAAAAGCAATGTTAACTCTGCAAGTGCTCTAATTCAGCCTTATTTTGATTACGCGTGTTGCTCTTGGTACAATGGTGTCTTAAAGCACCTGAAACATAGGCTTCAGACTGCTCAAAATAGGGTTGTTGTCTTTGGATACAGGAAGAAGAATCTGAAATGACGCATATTGCGTCTTAAGGTTGTCCGTACGTCTTGACGCTAACCGCGCGTCGCCGTTTACATCGGGATATTGCAATTCCATGTATACAGGAGAAACTCTCTCTGCTCACGCATGTAAACGGGTTATTCCTAATGTTTCAGAAACCTGAATAGTGACCTTAACCCGATCATAACCCGAAAATTGGCTGCATGTAAACGTAGTCATTGATGCTTGAAGAATTTGTTTGGGAGGAATAGGTTTAAAATTAGAAGCATACGACTGATCAGCAAGGGCTCGAGTTTAAAAGTATCACTTAAAAAGCAATCAAATGTGTTAGTATTTAAATATGAGAGTGAGGTGAGTCTTGCATATCAGTGCATGTGCTTGAGATGGATGTCCCACAAACTGCCAAAGGCATTCATAACAGAAAAACCTAAAATGAGCTCCTGTAGAGGATTTCATGTCTTACACACACACGTTGGGTTTCCATGTTTTATGGACACAAGGATTGAAAAGCAAAACGTACAACTATTACTTAAAAAAAGAAAATAAATCAACACTTTCACATATTACATGTGACTATGCATGACAGAACTTGAAAAAAATTAAATGAAATGCCTGGACAAAGGGTAAATGTAGCCATTTTTATTCTATTCAAGTTAACAGCACGTTGATCGTATATGTCTTCTACTCTGTGTCCTTGAAATGGCAATTTACAGGCTCTGCCCAATTTTTAAAACCTACACGACATAAATTGGATTTTACATCTCACTTTTTCGTTTACACTTCACCATTAGCAGAACATTAGGCAGGGGGAAAAAAAACAGCTACTGCAACAGGGAAATCAGTGTTTTTATTTAGACAAGAGCATTAGAAGAGAACATCATTCACTCTGCTTTCTACAAGAGCTGAAGATGAGACACTTCAGAGTCTCCTGGCAAGATAATGCGTCACTCTTTTCTCCATCTTTATCCCTCTCTTTCAAACACAAATGACAGAAACATTGGGCTCATTCACAGTGCATGTGGCTGAGGTGCTAAGTACGCAAAGTCCTCTTTACACATTTTGTACTGAGACTGTTTCTCGATTCGTTTATCGTCAACCATTTGGTGCCTCCAAATATTATTAATTTATTTCTGAGTGTCACAACCATAATTAATCTATTGGATCATTATTATCAGTGCATGGAAGTTAATTACACTTCCTATAATGCTAAATACATTATAATACAGCAGCACTTCCATTAGTGCATAATTACAGTACCATGAGCAAAACTAGGATGATAAAAGCAAATTCTCAAAAGCAATTGTCTCTCATTGACCCAAAAGCTTCATATCCTGTTCATTGTACAATAAAGAAAAGGAACAGAATTAGTTGGGAGATGCTGAAATGTCTGGATGGGAATGCATTTGGTCAACTGCATGACTGACACCACATAAAACACACAAATGACAGGCACATTTTGACATCAGTACATTTAAATTAGAATTTAACAGGTCAAAGTAGCACTTTATCCAAAGCAGCCAAAGTCGAGACAACACCTCAGAGTTGTTACAGACACCAGCAGATAGGAAGTAACTCATTTTACAGTACTTTTATATATTTATATTTATGAAGCAACATCTCCTATCGGAAAAATGTCCATTATTTCAAGACTCAATAAGTTGTTTTGCAATTGCACACTGACCTTGGATAAATATATATTAAATAATAATAGCTGGAATATATTTAAAAGTTAAGACTCAACATCTAAAAAAAAAAGATGCACATATTTTAAATGTTTATGTTTTAATGTCTGCTCAGAAGCAAGATTAAAATGAAAAAAAAAAGAACACCACAACCACGTAATTACACATTGGAATCACAAATTCTAAGCATGTCACAGTCACGAACAGAACATTTGGGCGAAATATTTCCCTTGGGGAGAAACAAGGTGGATGAAGGTGAGGCACCTGACATGAGGGCATCCGTCTCTTTTGTGGAAGATTTGAAACACAGCATTGTAAATTGCACAGTGGAGGAATGAAAAATGAAGGGCTTAGCCAGACAAAGGTTTTTCCCCCTTAGCCTTTCTACAGTTTGTGTTTAGAGAATTAGATGTGGTAGGCAGAGGGAGGAATGACACTGACTGATGGATGGAATAACCCAATGTAGGGGCCACTGCAGATATACAACTATACTAACAAAGAAAGACATAAAATCCCAGCGCGGTAACGAAGAGAATAAACAGAGATAGGCTGGTATTTGCCCAGTTTAGAGAGCTTGAGATTTCACATATAATTATCCTTCGATTGTCTTTAGTCTGTTGACGGATTCCAGAGGAAAATCAGTGGAACAGCCATTGTGACGGTCCTGATTCATTAAGCACTCAAAAAGGCTTAGCCGAGCACAAGATAGTAGATTATTAGTCAAAATCATTGTTTTATTTGCTTAGTTCAGGAAAACCAAAGTGTTTAGAAAGTTCCCAAGTGAGAAGAAGTGGAGGAAGAGAGAGGTTTTATGTTGGAAAACAGTGCACTTGTTAGTATTAGTCATGTATTGTTGAGGTAAAGTCTTCAAGACCTTAAAGGATGGCTTGTGTGAACACTAAATGGTAACGAGATGGTTTAAAGACCGAGGGACGGTTTCAGAGAATGAAAAATTGGAAAATAGGGATACTAAACTAACTTAAGGCAAGAGGTTGAATATTTTTCAGGTGGACGTTTTATGTAGTTGAGAGCCAAGGTCTCTGTGATCAGGAGCTCAGTGCTGATGTTATCTCAGGCCTTTTGGAGACCCACAAGAGCACAGCTTTCTTTCCACAACTTGGTTTGCAGCCGTTCATCATAAGACAGCGCTGAAGACTCCGTCTTACGACCGTTGTACAGATACAGTCCTCCGATCCCCTCGAGCTCAGAGGCAGCTGCAGCGTAGATAGCTGTGGATGCTCCTTCTGCAGACGTCTGTGGATGGACAGGAATCAGAGATCAAGTCACACACAGCTGTGGGCACGTTAAGAATATTTAAACAGCGATGGATATGAAATATCAAAGAAGGACAGAAAAGATGATCCCGATTCCTGGAACAAAATTCCTAATTTTGCATTCCTGCTAGTCTCTTGACTTCGCTCATCTTTGTACGTGACAGCCATCGCAACATTCCTTGTGTGTTTGCAGTTGTTATAGCGTTCTTTGATTTGTTCTGTAGTGTTCTTCTTGGCACTTGAAAATCTTACCCTAGCACTTGACATATATCCTTAGCTGCAAGCTCTGGTAATTGCCACTTATATGTGCACTTTATTGTAAGTTGCAGCTGCTTTGGTAAATATACTGGCTGAAAACAAATACTGTACATTGTATCTGTATAGAACTGTCAATTTGTCATTTGGTAACTTTAACACCAGAACAAGGATTAATTTATCACTAGTCAGTGCATTAGGTATCATGAATGAACAATTCACTTTTTTTTCTCAGCATTTATTAGGTCAGGTGTGTCCAATCCCGCTTCTGGGGGGACATTGTCCTGTAGAGTTTAGCTCCAACCTCCCTTAACACTTGCCTGGAAGTTTCTTGCAATTCTGAAGTTCTTGATTAGCTGTTTCAGGCGTGTTTAATTAGGATTGGCGATAAACTGCAGGATAGTGATTGGAGACCTCTAATGTAGATTAATGTTAATTTATAAATATACTATTGTTGATTGTTTTTAATATTTTATTTTTTAATATTTAATTTGTATAATATATATTTGTACATAATACATTAACTTTTAAAAGAGGCCATATTATGCCCTTTAACAAAGTCTTGATTTTGTTTTTTTGGGTCTACTAGAATAGATTTCCATGCTTGAATGTTCAAAAAACATAAAAAAACAAAACAAAAAAATGTTTACATTGGGCAGCACCTCTCTTGCCAGTCTGTCAGTAACACTGTGTATGTTTCAGAATGATCACGTCCCTTACCATAACATGAGTTTCAACAAACACAACCAGGCTTTGCTCCACTTTTTTTTTTTTTTTTGTGTATGCCTTGGGCAGGAATTATTTAAATGAGGAATATTGTGACGTCTACGTTCCAAGAAGAAAACTCAAGACTATAATCAAGGCGTTTCAGGGAATTCAGAAATAGTGCTTACTGTAGTACAATAGTACAATTAATTAACAAAAAAAATAATCTATTAAAAAAACCATGCCTCCTGACCAGGCCATAAATTCCCCACCTTTGCAAGCCAGGGAATAAGAATGTGTCCCGTTCACACAAGACACATTCAAAAACAGCAAATGGAACAGACTTGAATGAAAAAGAGCAATACATATAAAACAAGTGTAGATGGGTTGCAAGAACATGTTGAACATGTTAACTAACTTGAAAAGAATATACTGAATTTTTGTAAATTCTATTGAATGCATTACTTGCCTGCCACAACACTGTTAACATCTTTATTTTGTTGTCTTTTTTGTTTCAAATATTCATATTGCAAGCTAGCTAATCATGTAATTCAATTGAAAATTATTTTGTTGTCAGTCCTAATCTGTACACTTCCACTTGTGACTCTTGCCTCAAGTTTACACACGTGATGCTTTCCAACCGCCAGGGTTAATTATTCAAATTAGCCTTCTAATTGCAAATGTTATGGCTCGCTTCCACATCAGAAGATCTAAAAGTTGGGCTGCACAGTAAGTGAGATTGATATGCAGATGGTCAGTTGGACTATGACCTCCAGACGGATCAATTATACTGGACAGCCAATCTTCTCTAACACTGGTGCCAGACTCTGCACTTCAAATGCCTCTCTTTGAGGCCAGGCAATTGAGGATAAGCAATGTTTTTCTATTTTCTAGATCTCTTTTGTCTGAGGGAATTTACATTAAACTACAGGAGCCACAAGGTTTCTCTATACTGAGCTGAATCACAAAGAGTGTGAGAAAAGCTTCTCGGGCATACACTGTTGCGATTTTCGTCCGTTTTTTGAGCCAAATTCTGACTCGTGCAACTCTTTTCAGCTATATCGTGCGTCGTTTGTCGTGCAGTGTTCGTGAAATGTATAGGCGGAAATGAGAGGCGATTAACCTCTCCCGACAGGCAGTCGGATGAATTTCTGGCATGTCAGAAATTTAGGTCGCTCCTCGTGACTATATCGCACAGTTTAAGCAGAGCTACGAACCGATTGCCCTAAACTCAGTGTTTTTTCCCTCACTGCGCCTGCGCGAAAACAGAAGTTTAACCATTTCATCTTTAATGCAGCAAGAAAGAAAACGAAAAGAGGGAGATCTTAAAGTTCTGTAGATATCAAACTATTACTGTTGCTTACCTCCAGTTTGTGTTGCAAAATGGATAAACCATATTACCCACGTCTTCCAAGCCACCTGCGATGTAGCTTCCAATTTATTAATTTGTGAGTGAATTTATTAATTTGGGAGTGAGCAAAGCTCATGATCATTTAAAGGCATATGCACTGAAACGGCGTGCTGAAAACAGAGCTGTTTTTGACCAGGTAAAATAAGTGTTTTCTTACAACACTAATGAGAATTTTTAATTAAAGTATTACAAACTTTTAATTTAGACCCTAAAGGATCATATTAGCTTGAACAAAAATGGCATTATATGACCCCTTTAATAATTTAAATTCTAGGCCAATAATTCATTGTAATCTACCTAAATGTTTTAAGACAATTTTCAATGAGGAGGAGTAGCCTAAGCTTCGATCTAATCTTCGCAGCATGTCGGTTATGCGGGGATGCGCTATAAAATTATTGCGTGGCAAATTAATTATAGGGGAGAGCAGGGGCGAAAGTACCATTTTTCAGAAAAACATCATTTTTAAAGATGATGGTTTAGACCAGGGCCGTAGCTAGAGGATTCGGGGCCCCCTGAAAAAATATTGATGTGGGCCCCCACCACCCTCCACCAATATCATATACTGTACAATAGATGAACATGGAGGCCCACATAACAGAAGATGGTGATGTTGTTGTAAAACCTTTATTTTAAAAGTTAAATGTTTATATAAAAATTACAACTAATAAAAAAGCAAGAAATTGTTAAATAATAATAAAACCAATTTTTTAAAAGTAATAATTTTTTTCCCCCATCAGTCTGTTATAATTCATAAATCAAAAAGTAAACATTTAGAAATAGACAAGAATGCAGTCTAATTCAAAAAATAAAACCATTCATTGTCTTATTTTTTAATAAAGATAATATGGAACTGGTAATATTATTAAATAAAGCGAATACATTTATTCATCCAAGTGCAGTGTGTTCGTGTTTTCTCTATGTTTTAAATATCATCAGCCGGCAGGTCAGATGCATAATGCAATGCGTCGTGACTCGTGTAATTTTTTTTAAACTCTAGTTACAATAGTGTAAAAAGACAGGAATTTAGACCACGTAATCATTCGGTCGATTGCGGCGCGCACCGATAATAAAAAATGACTGTACACGGCAGACTGTAGACGGAAGTTTTCTAATTCCCAGCGAAATAACAATATATAACCGGTCTTTAAGAACGTCTTGATCGACTGGGATACAACCACTCTCCTTGCCTCCCTCTCCGTCTTTTCCTGGCATTTCTGGTTCCCTGATGTTTTCTTTTCCCCGACATTTTTCAGTCAGTTAGTCTCCTGCTCTTCCACCAAGTTCATCGTTAACTTCAGGCTGCCGCCTCAACTCTGATTGGTTCTGTTTACGAGCTGGGGTGGGACATTTTTATTGGGTCCATCTGATGTTTGTCACTGACTCTGACTGAATAATTAATAAATACTTTAGGTCGAACTAAACCATTTTTATGGAGGTAAGAGAAGCAGATATTTGGAAAAATATTTACCCAAATTGCACGTTTTTGTGGTTTTCATTTAAATCTCAGGCATACAACTAATATAAATATTAGAATTATTCATACTACAGGGGCCTAAATAGTATAACTGCTGGATTTTGGGGGCCCCTATAATTGTCACCACCTTTCACCCCACTAGCGACGGCCCTGGTTTAGACAGAGATCTATTTTTGCTGTGGTCAGTCACTCACAAGTGTGGTCTATCAATACCAGGTGGTATTTTGTAAAAATGTAGAACGACTTCAGTATAATTTCACTTTGAACTTAAGACTGCTCATGTTACTTTTGACCCCGTCAGTTGGGTCGAAAGTAACACACAGGTGGGTCAAAAGTAACACAACAACATACAAGTTAGATTTCTAGATTAATATTTACCTTTTTTTAGCACTCCAGGGTGACTAGGAACATGAAATTGTCTAGCTATGACTTCTTGTTTCACAGGAGTTTAAATATGAGGAACCACAAAGGCCAAAACCCCCTTAATCGTCCATCACAATGAGTAAAACCAAATAATATAGTTCTGATGTGCATCAAAAGATTGTTGAGCATCACAAAATAAAAAGGGGCTGTAAGACAATAGCAAAAAGAAAAAAGATTTGAAAATCCCCATTTTGACAATCAGGGCAATAATTAAGAAGTTCCAATCAACTAAAGATGCTACGAAACTGCAAGGAAGAGGACATGTGTCTATATTGCCTTAATGGATGGTGAGGAGGAAAGTTTGAGAGGCCAAAGATTCTCCAGGGATCCCAGATGGAGAATTGCAGAGATTACTTGAGTCTTGGGGGTCAGAAAGCCTAAAACAATATATATCAAACAACCCCTACATCACCACATGTTGTTTGGGAGGGTTTCAAGTAAAATCCTCCTTGCTCCTCCAAAAATAAACTCCAGCATATTCAGTTGTCGGACACGACTGGAACTTCAAAGGGGACTGGATTCTATGGTCAGATGAAACAAAAAAAGGGCTTTTTGGCAGCAAACCCACCAGATGCGTTTGGTGCAAACATGGATAAAAAGTACCCGATGCCTACGGTTAGATATACTGCTGGATTTTATATGTTGTGGGCCTATTTTTTGCTGGAGGTCCTGGACATCTTGTTCAGATACATGGTATTATGGATTCTAGCAAATACCAACAGATAAAAAATCTAAACCTGACTGCCTCTGCTAGAAATCTTATAATGGGCTGTGCTTGGATCTTCCATCAGGACAACGGTCCAAAACAAACATGTGTCACTGAGCACAAAATGAAGCACTGGAACCATGACCGTCCCAGTCGCCTATACTGAACCCAATAGAAAATGAGTGGGGTGAACTGAAGAGAAGAAGCACCAACATGAACTTGTGAATCTGAAGGATCTGGAGAGATTCTGTATGAAAGAATGGTCTCTGATCTCTTGGCAGGTGTTTTGCAAACTCTTCGGGCATTATAGGAGAAAACTCAGAGCTGTTATCTTGGCAAAAAGTTCCACCACATCCCCGTTCCACCACATCCCAAGATGCTCTATTGGGTTGAGATCTGGTAACTGTGGGGGCCATTTTAGTACAGTGAACTCATTGTCATGTTCAAGAAACTAATTTGAAATGATTCGAGCTTTGTGACATGGTGCATTATCCTGCTGGAAATAGCCATCAGAGGATGGGTACATGGTGGCCATAAAGGGATGGACATTGTCAGAAACAATGCTCAGGTAGGCCGTGGCATTTAAATGATGTCCAATTGGCACTAAGGGGCCTAAAGTGTGCCAAGAAAACATCCCCCACACCATTACACCACCACCACCAGCCTGCACAGTGGTAACAAGGCATGATGGATCCATGTTCTCATTCTGTTTACGCCAAATTCTGACTCTACCATCTGAATGTCTCAACAGAAATCGAGACTCATCAGACCAGGCAACATTTTTCCAGTCTTCAACTGTCCAATTTTGGTGAGCTCTTGCTAATTGTAGCATCTTTTTCCTATTTGTAGTGGAGATGAGTGGTACCCGGTGGGGTCTTCTGCTGTTGTAGCCCATCCGCCTCAAGGTTGTGCGTGTTGTGGCTTCACAAATGCTTTGACTGAAATAACCACTCGTTACAACCGAGGTATGCAGCAAAGTTGCTCTTCTATCAGCTTGAATCAGTCGGCCCATTCTCCTCTGACCTCTAGCATCAACAAGGCATTTTCGCCCACAGGACTGCCGCATACTGGATGTTTTTCCCTTTACACACCATTCTTTGTAAACCCTAGAAATGGTTGTGCGTGAAAATCCCAGTAACTGAGCAGATTGTGAAATACTCAGACCGGCCCGTCTGGCACCAACAACCATGCCACGCTCAAAATTGCTTAAATCACCTTTCTTTCCCATTCTGACATTCAGTTTGGAGTTCAGGAGATTGTCTTGACCAGGACCACACCCCTAAATGCATTGAAGCAACTGCCATGCGATTGGTTGATTAGATAATTGCATTAATGAGGAATTGAACAGATGTTCCTAATAATCCTTTAGGTGAGTATATATATATATATGGCTATCATTACGTAGGACTACTTTACATTATTAACACTTTATTCTACTGAAAATCCACAGAAGAATACTGACCGTCATGGGGAAATCTCAGAGTCAAAATAAGATACACCGGTGTTTTGCCAGATGAGAAGATTATTCTATGTATCATCTTTTTACTATTTTAATTCATTTTACTCTAATTCATTTTATAACTGTATAATTTATCTCCTTTAATTCCTTTTATAACTGCTTTAATTCCCCCTGCTTTTTTTTTGTCTATTTTATATGCAAAGCTCTATGAATTGCGTGATTTTTATAATTCCTTTCTATGTAAAGTTTTTGAATAACTGTTTTCCTTGCTTTTATTTTGTGATTATTTCCTCCTATGTAAAGCACTTTGAATTGCCATAGTGTATGACATGTGCTATATAAATAAACTTTCCTTGCCTTGCACATTGAGTGATAGTAAACAGCAAAAAAAAAAAAATTTATATATATGTATATATAATATAATTATGGTTGACCAGCTACATCACAGATGCCGCATAGAATTAATATAGAACTCAATCGACTATTTTACAACCGTTTCAAATGGCTCAACCAATTAGAACTTAGTGAAAGCAATGTTTCATAAAAAAGCAAGAAGCCACAGTTTGCAGAGATTTTCTAAAAGTTAGGGGCGTTGCTTCGTAAGCAGCTCAGCCAATCATAACCAAAGGCCAGAACTATTCGTTAACTTATATATGAATAATTTTAATATTTAGAATATTTTGTTGTTTTTGCATGTCATTTATCATGCATATGATATTTTATGTAAATCTGATAACACTTCACACTCTAAGGTTATATACATTAACATTAGTTATATAGCTAACATGACATAAAGAAGTATTTTATGCTCTTGGACAAACCTTCCTTATCAGTTTCTTTTTGCAAAGAACCGAAAAATTTTATTCTCTACAGCGGGTGTGCTTTTCTATTTTAAAAGTCGTTGGCTGTCTAGTCATAACAACATTTCCCCTCAAGACATTCATAATTTGTCATCTTTTCTTTTAAACACATAAAGCACACTGTCCTCGCTGAGCCCCATAACTTCTGGGTTTTCAACAGCGATTTCTGTGCCGCATACATAATGGACGCCGTGACCCGTGACTCAACCTGAAATAAATAACTAAGGCCCCAGCTAAAGGATATTGCTGTGCTGATAACTATCACAATAAATCAAAATCAACACACCTCACCTCAACAAGGGTACGAGATTCACGGATATTACATTTGTATTCAACTGATTACACATTGAATTATCTTTTGTATAGTACAAATAATTCCCCTTGAGAAATGGGCGAAGGTCACTGGCCATTGTTGTGGTTTTCATTTGCTATCTATTGCGCATAACCAAAGAGAGTTGTTCATACATAAAAAAATAATTATATAATGTTCTGACAGAGTGTTCAACACAATCATATGCTGCTGTTTGCTCATCTCTAATGCTCTTTTAGCACCATAAACTCAGCTGAATTTATGGGATGACAGTAAAACAGCCTGAAAAAAAAAGGTAGCAATTTTGATCATTTTGAGACAACAGATCACTGAGCACAAACAGATGGGTATTTATTGTATAGGTGGCATATAATATATAGCGTAACATGAAACCACATTAAAAACCTAGAAATACCATATACATATTTTTATATTTGTAATTGTAAACTCTATATTACTTTATTTTTTTTTTTCACTCTTCCCACCATTTTCTTCCACTTATCTGAAATTCAAGAGGTGTAACATTCTAAAAGAAGATGAAAGAATCACGTCTGATTAACACACACACACACACACACACACACACACACACACACACACACACACACACACACACACACACACACACACACACACACACACACACACACACACACACACACACACACACACCTTTGAAGCAAAGAGACAAGATAAATCCAATTATTGTTCACCCTGACATAGCGGCTCCAAACCTTTAGATTTCAAGACGAATTCCAAGAGATTGGGTGAGACAGACGGATGGAAAAGAAGAAAAGAGAGAGTGAAAACAGTGTCTCCCAGGATACACCACACTGTCACAATACCTTATTGCAACATATTGGGGCAGGTGGGTTTGTCATAAAGTGTTGTCATTCAACAGAGCACCTTTCACAACAGTCTTTGTCACTGACTCTATCTAAAGGAGAATATTCATGAACACATGAAACTGAATGCGTTTTAGATGCAAAAGCAGGCAATTGCATATTGGACCAATAAGTAATAACAGTTATCATTTTAAATAATATTAGTTATTTATTTTAACAGTATCATTCAATATAGGATATTTATCAGCTGATATTTTATTGTGGTTGCTTGCTTCTGCCTAATTTTAGATTTTAGATTACTTTTGCAATCATATAGCACTTACCAAATGATAAAGATTAGGCAAAAATTAAAAGGGCTTTCGTATAATAGAGCTCCCACCCAGGGTTATTATAGTTACTAAAATAAAATAAAATAAAATAAATAAATAAATAAATTTGTTACTTGAAATGAAACAAACGTTAACTGAAATAAAATAAAATATTAAAATATAATCTTTCACTAGTTTTATTTCAGCTTACAGCATTTCTTATTTTCATGTAGTTGTAACTTGATGTACTAAAATAACTAAAAATTAATAAAAACTACATCAAGATAGAAAAAAGATAAAAACTACAACACATTTTTTTTTACATTTTAACTCAAATGAAAATGGAACATATTAAAACAAAAACGAATTCAAAATATGAATAAAAACTATAATTGTATCTCAATAAAACTAAACTAATATTTGTCCCAACTCTATTATAAAGACTTTCTCATCAACTATTCATCTCAAAATAATAGTATTTATATATCTAATACTTTGCATTATAACGCAAGCAAGCATTTGTTTATATATTTAGCCTTATCAGCATCAATGGCTATTACAACATCCATTTAATCTTGATAAAACATTTGTTTTTAGCTTCTAGTGCGTTTTATTTTTTTAGACAAAATAGCACATATTTATAATATTGATCAATTAACAGGTTTGACACATAATATGAAAATATTTTATGTTTTTTTTTCTATAGAATTTTTTAATTCAACCACTTGAAAGCTGTACATTTCATGTCCTATCTCTGCCCTGTCAATGTGAAAACTGAAGCCTCAAGAATTCTCTGCCAAGCACAGACAGGTGCCTGAATAAACCATCACACTAGTGACTCAGACCTAGTTTGGCTGACTTTCCAAAGTTTGGCAAGTTATTTAAATAAAATAAGGCAGTCCAAATATGCACCGGCAATTATTATCCTCCAGTAAACTTGACTAATGAGATTTTATAGAGGGCAAAATGATTTGCCTTACCCTAAAGAGCAGTTTAGCGAAAGGCTTCTTGGCTAGCTGGGCCGGGCCACACAGATTGTCATACAGGGCTGTGTTCACCATGCCTGGGTCCACTGCATTAACCCTTACAGGGTCTCCTTTGACCAACAACTGGTCCTGCAGGTGGTAGGAGAACAGCAGCAGGGCCAGTTTACTCTGGGCGTATGCACCATGGGCACTATAACACATCCTGAGGAAGAGAGACAATGGGAGAAAAAAGAAAGAGGCCTTGAGCATAGTTATGCAGCTATTTTGGTGTCAACAGCCATTAATGTGTTGTTTACTGTAATTTGTGTTTGCAAACCCATTTTGACAAGAATGTGCTTGTTGATGTGTTGTTGCTTCAAGTCAGATCATTCAGAACAGCAGTTAACATTAAACCAGCGTTATTTGGTTTTACTTATACTATTACAGTATTTATTAGTATTTTGAATTATTTTCATTTCATTTTTATTTTGATATTAAAGTTTTAGTAATTTTTGTGTTATATGCTTTTTGTCAGTTTTGTTTTTTTATTTCTATATAGCTTATTGTTTTCTTTTTTCCATCTAATATTTTTGTTTTCTTTTATTTCAGCTCTTCGTTTCAGTGAAACATTTTTTTTTATAGTTTTAATTTTAATCATCAATAATGACTGGAAATTGGAATTTGGGCATCACAACATTATAATGCACCGAATGGACATTCAGTTTTAAATAGGCTAAAAATGAAGAACATTTAACAGTTTAAGTGCATTGTAGATGATGGCAAATATAATTTAAATGTAAAAACTGGTAAATGAGCAATTGTACAATTAAATAGTCAATATTGATTAAAGAAAACAAAAAGCAAAAAATAATAAGCAAAACAAACATGACAACAATGTACTAAAAACAGATGACAACCTTGTCAAAACGATCCACACGGATCTGCGAAAATGACTAAAAAGGCTTGATTTTGCATGCCAGTAGTTGACGATGTCACTTTGACAAGAAACACCCTGTGAACACGTAATACGCATGTGTGAACGTGTAATATACGTATGATGTCACCGTTTACACAAATTCACATTTTTGTTGTTTACATGGAGATGGTAAAGTCATAGTTTTCAAAACCTTGCACTTTGAAACCCATGCATTCATGCCACGTCATAATCACAAACTTTCAACTTGTAAAAAGCCTTCACAACCTCGTAGAGCTCGTAAAAGATTAAGCTGGGAATTTTCTTAGAGCTCCTACTTGTACCACGTGACCGCTGCAGATTCATTTAGGCATTGATAGCTTTTTTTTTTTTCTACGGCATGTTTATAAAAGCTACTTAAATGTCCTAATTTAACTAAGGCCTACTCCTGGCTGAATCTATGTCCTGTCTGTGAAACCAGGCCAATATGTATTTTAACATTTAAGATTTGTTCAACAGCATTGAAATTAGCATCAAGAATCGTGAAATTTTACCAGCATTGGTGCCTAATTGCTATATTCACATTAACAAACCATAAATTGATTGAAAAATCTTGTCTTTTTATGCATGTTTCGAAGTCCTAGAATGCCCCAGAATGAAGAATCCATGTCTAATCATTCAGCTGCTTCATTTATCCGTTATTTATACCAGCAGATGTCTTTGCGCCCACCTCTTCCTCTCTCACCTTGAAGGACATATTTATTAGGAATCTTCTGTGCCAACCCACAGCATGAGCCAACCACACACACACTTAACATACAGCGTGACAAAACTCACCATCAGTTGCAAGCGGGCACCTTGTTTTCTGTATTAGATTTGTTGTTTGTCAGTATTTATTGTAACACTCATAACCGCCCCCTTTCTGCCTCCCAGGAGGCTTTGCAGAATTCAGTCAATCAATAAACAGTGCTCTGAATCGCACTGCATGTTATAGTGACTGTGTCCTTGAATAGTTGGAGTACATGACTGCAGTAAAGGATGAGGACTCTCAAGATTGAAAGCAATATAAAAGCAGTCCTGAAAAAAAATAGGTTAGAACAGTGGCAATATTTTGAGGAAATGGAATGATCTGCACTACAGGAAGATCTGTGTTTAATATGAGACACACATTTTCGCCTTTTAAGAATGTTAGGGATGCACCAATATTGAAATTCCAGCTAATACAGACAAGTCAATATCATTTCCCCTGATAAATGTTCAAATACTCTATACTTGGTTATAAATTGTTAAAATTCTATATTTTATATTCTATAGTTTTTTTTTTGTCTAAATAAACTAAAAGCAATTATTTAGGCATCACAACATTATAATGTACCGTATGAATGGACATTCAGTTTGAGATATGCTAAAAATGAAGAACATTTAACATTTAAATGAGTGTGTCAGGGTTATGTTTTGTCTTTGTTTTTGTAGCGTCTGGACCAATCAGACACACACAAATTATTCATTATATTTAATGAATAATCCAGCAAACTCACTATCCCAACAAAGGTCTGTGAGACTTCCCCCAAATAAAGCCAACACACTGGGAGAACTCGGTGTCCTGTTACAGGACACAGTTTTACGACCCAAAAGAATGTGCAGGGAATTGTCTCCTAATTCTTGCTGAGAAGAAGAAATTAACCCTTTTAATCCTGTATATTCTATATATATATAACCATGTGATAAATGTCTTAACATGTATCTAATTTTCCATCTCATAATTTTCCTTTTATGTGGTTTGGCCTATGTCTCCATTCTCTCTCCTAAACTATTTTGGTCTGAAACATGACTTGCATACTATGGTTAACCAAAATCATATGTGTAGCATGTTTAGTCTCTATAAACTCCAATCTTCGCCCCCCATTTGTTAATTTACGTTACATTTTGCTAACTTTATGACACATTAGTATTATAAGAATCTTGAAGATTCTTTTCGTAAACACCCAATGAAATTAAATATTCAAATGCCTTGCTAGAAAACAAAGGGTCGTAAAAAGGGACAGCTTTGTATTGGCTCACGCACCTCCAGAGAGTGTGACATCTTCATGCTTTAAAATTCACTGATCACAAGATTAGCTCTCTCTTGTCCTTTTAGCTCTCTTGTCCTTTTAGCTCTCTTGCGCTCTTAGCCTCTAGCTCTCTTACTCTCTTGGTCCTTCCTGAGAAGTCCTAACGTGAAGATGGTGCTGAACAAGAAGTCCATCAAGGACCCCCAAGTTTGCGCCAGGCTGCGGCCTTGTCTTTCCATTCACCAAAGATCCTCTGACTCCCACTGGTTCTCTGTCATCAAGACCACATCAGCAAAGATCAACTGGAGCCTCAACCAATTGCATCAGGACAGTTTAATTCAAATGGACGAGACATGCAAGTATCGAACTTAGTCTCATTATTTGATACATTAAGTATCCTTACCCCTTTTTAAGAAGGGCGTGTTAGAACTAAACTGATGGTTTGCTCAGGGCTGTTGATCTGCTGAACTTCAAACAATGCTATAACCTCTCGCTTTCCTGTATTCTGCTTCAGCTCTCTTTCCCTTGGTAAACTGTATGCATGTATGTATGTGTATGTTAGAGTAGTTTAAATATTCTAGTCTAGTTAATAAAATCTTGTTCATGTCACACGTAAAGTTGTCCGTGTCTCAAGCTCATATCTGGAGTCACTAATCATAGATCTTGACTACTTGCTCTTAGTAGTACTTAGTAAGAAAGACATTTCCCATGCCCCGGAAATGTACATTTCTATTAATCAATTAATAACCAATATTAAGTGTTCACAGGATGAACCAAGTAATTGGTTGTAATGTTAATGTAGCTACATCAAGTTAACCCGATTAACTGATCCAAATATTCATAATCAATTATAACAAGTTATGATTGATTATTAATATTTCATAGAGCTAGTTTGCTACATTTTCATTGTGTTCACTTTCTGTTTCGCTCATTTTCCGTTGACCCAGTTCCCTATCAGTCGCTCACGTTCGAAGTAACGTCGATGTGATGACGTAATTGGGATCACTTCAGGGAGCCCTATCATCTTCGAGTATCTACAGAACGAGCCAATGAACGTTGGCGTGCATGAATCACGTCACACGCCCCACCCCGCAGCGCGGGTATAAACAGGAAGCGGGCGCACGCACACATTGTCTTTCACTTCGGAGCCGAGCTTCCTGTTTCATCTCTGTAATCTACAGACTGCAAACCTTTCTTCTCTCTCCTCTTCAGTGTTGGCGTGACGGCGCAATTAGCGAGTGGCTGCGAGCATTATAGCTCAAACAAACTGCTGTTCTCACAGCAAGAGCACTTTTGTGTCGGTTTTGGTGGGCGTTTCCCATAGAGTGTACAGCGATCTGCACTATCACCGCTGTACACCGCGGCAATTTCCTGGGTGCCTCAGCACTGTGTGAGAAATCACAGAAAGAGGTATTTCTTCACAAAAAGAGCTACACAAGCATGACCCTGCATCCTTTTCAGGATGTCATTCCGCTTGTGCGTTTCTGGATGCGTTCGTTCCCTGGCGCCAGCAGACAGCCACAATAGTTGCCTCTTGTCTTTGGGCATTCAGCGCGCTGAGGCAGCTTTTGTGAATAGCTCATGTTCCCATTGCGGGAATATGACTATGGCAGCGTTGAGATCGAGACTCGCTTATCTCAAGGGAGGTGCAGTCCCCTCGCCTGTGCCCCGATCGCGTGCTTATTCTGGACCTCAGAATAGGCCCACTTCGGTGCTTAACCAGGGTGATCTGAGTGTTACCGTGAGGGCTTCCCCACCGAGGCAATCTCCGTGGGCCCCTCACGCCTCACTAACGCTGCCGCCAACGGAGCCATCAAAAGAGCGTGCTGGTCCTTCTCATGGACGACCAGTCGTGTCTTTTGGAGCTCCCCTTGACGACCAGATGTCGATTGCAGCATCGGAGGGGGAGCTTCAGTCCTCTGGAGATGAGTATTCGGCTGCGTTACCCCCATTCAGGGAGTGTAGCGTTGCCCGAGTCTGATCCAGAATGGGCAGCTATGCTTTCCCGGGTCGCCGAGAAGATCGGACTTGTGTGGAATCCTCAACCACGTACCGAACCTTCTCGGTTGGATGATTGGTTTCTCAGGGTGGGCCGTGCTGGTTCTCAGTGCGCCGGCCCGGTGCCATTCTTTCCGGAGGTGCATGAGGAGCTCACTAGGACGTGGACGGCACTGTATAGTGCCAGAAGCCGTCCTTGTGGCTCCTCATCACCCTCGATGGTGGAGAGGCTAAGGGGTATGTGGATGTCCCGCCGGTGGA